GAAATTTAAGTTTGTCAGAAAAAATACATTATCTCCCCTACTAATGCAACCTTTTTTTTACATATTGTATAACAATTCTGATTTATTTGTATTACACTTCTAGATAACGCAAGATCTTAGAATGCTCTTCATCGTTACCAGGCAGTGATTAGTACTTTTTTTTATCTATTTGTTGTAGCATGATTCACAGTTTGTAGTTTGTAGATCAGTTTTAATTTCTTATACAAAATGCAATAGGAATAACTGATAAGCGACTGTTGGCTTCTATTCTTCCTATCTTATTTTTTCGAGAAACCCAGATGCAAGTAAATGTCAGTGATAATTGCTAAAAACGCAAACAAGATGCATAAATTATCAAGAACACTTGTGGCTTTACTTGGGCAAATCAATATTGAATGGATGTAATCATATAATGATATCAACTCCGTCTCTTGGCCTTGATTTTTAATTTAATCGCGATATGTATCTGATTTTTTCGCTGTAAACATCAGTAAATGATAATTGGCGACTACGAGGTCACTGTATTACGAATTTATGTTATTGATGACATTGTCGTAAATATTGAATTTCTTTTTTATTGCATAATCGCTTCAGTTTAATTTTATACTTTAACGCGTTTCTGAATCTTACTTTCACAGGCAATGATTCTTGATAATTCCAAATAATCACCATGATTTAACCGCCACGAAGGAAGACAAATTAATCCTAAAATTTGTCAATATTAAGTATATTGTTAGTAGTTGCCTAGAAAAGTTACGTGTGCATGTGTGGAAAACTTTTGGCAACATTTGGTAATTGTAGGTTACCTCAAAAACTCCCTAAAAGTCCCACTTTTATTGACCAATTACTAGGTTTGTTTGCGTCGCAGTTCCCAACATGTTCCTATAGTATTACGTCACGTACACTATAGATTGAGGCGTATTGAAGCGAGTATATTGGGACATTGCGACGCGACCAAATCTACCGTGTTCATGAAGAATCAGCCTTAAATGCATCTGTTAATGAATTTTAGAACGCAGCTTATTTAGTTGAAGGCGTTGGAGGGAAACAAATCTAACCTAACCTAACCACTTTGACAGAAGTCAACAGAAATTCAAATTTAAAGCTTAAACATGGGTAAACGTTTTTTTACCATTCTGTGATCATACTCTTCAGTAAAATATAAAGAAAAACATTAAGAAAGGAGCAATAATAATACGGCAATCAAAACAGCTTCCTCTGAATGATATATTTTTGAAAACCAATAACGAATCAGTTATTGAAAATGTATGTACATCTTTATGACTTATACATTGTAAGCATAACGGATTATTACATTTATTTACAATTATTACATTTTGTTATACAATATGTAGGTTTAATTTCGTATTATTTACACAGTGAACTGAAAATATGTCTGTGTACAAGAAGGATAATAAGGATGATCTGGAAGAGATAATTGATGAACAATGCAAGAGAATGCTTGAGCTTCGTATAGTCACAGAATTGATAAAAAGTATATTGTTATCGCGTTATTTATCGTTGTTTTATATTATAAAGTCTCAACAATATGGGAGAATTGTAAAAATAATATTTTATCTCTTATAGGTAAACACAACATAAAAGATGAACTACAGACAATACATCAAAAAATGTTGCAGAAGTCAAATGATGTTGAGAACTTGAGAAAAGATTTGGATAGAATAAAAGCGCAGAATGTTTATCTTAAAGTAAGTTTAAAAAATTATATATTCACAATTTTATTATTAATAGAGAATTGAAGACAAATTAGGATCGATTATGTTCATATAGGAATTATGTTCGCTAACTGCAGCTTTGGATAAAAAAATCGTAGACGAAGAAGCGTATGTTCCATCAGAGCTTTTACAAGCCTATCAAGATGTTAATAAAAAGTCTCATTTGTCTGCTGTTAAAAGTTCTTCTCAAAAGGCTCAAACTATATTTTTTCCTGCTAGATCAGACTCCAATGTAAATTCAGCTCATTTAGCTCATCAGTTGATTGAGCTAAAGACACCTAGCTACTATAACAGTAACGTTGCAAAGCAGTCAATGGTGAAAGACTGTAAAAGAACACTTTTCCAATCAGAAAGTGACATGGAAGTGTGTCCCACAATACCATTGATCACTATTGAGGAATTTAATAAACTGCCTAAATACATGATTGGGAGACAAACTCTAGAGACAATTAATAGTTTGATAAATACTATAAATCAAACACTAATTGCGAAGTACACAATCTTATCATTAGGAAAGGCTGGTGCCCAAAAGAAGGGCGAAATCAATCTGTATCTGCAGTACAAAAAGCAGGAGTTTGATATTGAGGAACAAAAGGGTAAATTCTTGGCTTTGACAATTTTTAGTAATACATTGAACTCCATAATATAAGAACTATATATGTATATTTTTTACATTAATACAATTTTTATTTCAGGATATCTTTATTTTTTCACAGCTGAAGATTATTATAGGCAAACAAAAACAAAGATCGATAAGACCAAATTAAACTTGATAACAGCATTGCGCCATTGCAAACGCTTACGTGAATACAGAATAAAAAATGAATTGAGATATGTTATAATGTCAAATTAGTTAACAATTTCTTTATTAATAATATATAACTATTTACAAATGTCAAATTAGTTAACAATTTCTTTATTAATAATATATAACTTTTTATAAAATGTGTACAATTTCACAATTAATTATATGAGTTGACTAATATAAATAATTCAACAATTATTAAATTCAATTTCAAAGAATTGTATATATATAATGAATTATATATTTTTTACATTTATAAATAAAGATTTTTGCATTTAACTAAAAGTGTATATAATTTTCATATTTGCTTTTCTCTTTACATTAATGTTAGAAACAAATTAGAAACAATAAGTGGTATTTCAATTGTTTCTAGTTACCTAACCAATCTGTTTCAATCTATTTATGCATCATTGAAGAAGCTGAATCGTGGTAGCAAGAGAAATCACTTTCAAGAATATTGAGTTTGCCATGAAAGAATATTTGAATATTTATGTTCTTTTCAAGGAAAAGGTAATCTACTCCATTTTCTTATTGCAACTTTTCAAGTATCTTCCAAGTATATACAGTGTTTAAAACAAATTGAATATGTCCATTTATTTTATTACAAGTTAAATACATTTGTAAAAGTTATAAAATTTTTTCACACGATTTTTTTAGTAATAATTTATTTTTTTTGTACAGTTCATTTATAAATAAAAAATAATTGATTGATAGATATATTATAGATTGATAGAACAGACGTTTTTGTCTTTATTAGGCCCTCTTCAGTGTGAAACAAATTACAAAACAACATACAAAATATAAAATTCATAATTCCTGACAAATCATATGCATTTTATAATCAAATAATAAGACATTTAGTAAAACGCAGGAAAATTACAAAACAAAGTTTAATTATCGTTAATCATTACAACTGATTATGCCGCACGCAATGTAAAAATATAATTATTAATCTTGAGAGTTAAAATTCGCAACATGTGTAAATTGTTGAAAGAGTAGAAAAGATTCTATCTTAATAAGAGTTTTATAAATTTGTAATCCCGAGTGAATCATTTTAAAACACTGAAATAAAATTAAAACCCGATATTGTAATCTACATGATATTAAATTAATATAACATAAAACCCATTTCCAAGGAATTTATATCAATGGCAAGAGGTTTTGATCTTAGATTAGCTTTCTTGATTCTCAATAATCTTAGAGAATTTATAAAAACAGGAAAAGATCAATTAGATTCTCTACATCATTGTGGAGTAGTCTACAAGATCTCATGTCAGTCTGCGTTTATTTATGTAATTTTTTGTATATATGTTTATAATACATGTTTTGCACGTACATCTAGCGTTAACTCCTTTGCTCTTTCATTATTATAACTGCTTATAATTATGTTTTGAATCATTTGCAGCGATAAAACATGCTGGAGGCAGAATCAATAAGCACACTAAGCGATCATGAAGATAATATTGACGATTTAGAGGGCTCTATGGTATGGTCTCAAGAGGAGCCACTTTCTTCCAACGAAATACTAGAGTTACCAGCTTCAGAGAATCAGAGAGAAAATATCTTGGCTGCTTTTTGCCGATTATGTGCTGGTCAAACTAACAATCCAATATATATTTATTCCGAACTCGGAGAGTCGATGAAGCTGGCGGATAAAATAAATACATGCCTAAGTGTGAAGGTATTCATAAAATCTCGTTAAAATTAATTTGTATATAAATATCTGAACCATGCACTACGATGTTTTATGAATTTGTTGCAGATTAAAAAGACGGATCCATTACCGAAACAGCTCTGTTTGACGTGTGTCGAGAAAATAAACTGGAGCAACGAGTTTGATACACAATGCATTAAAGCGGAAGAAACTTTAACGATAATGCTGAAGGAGAAACAGGCTTTCAATGTTTCGAATGAGAGTCAGATCTTGTCTGATCGACAGTCTTGTCCTTTATGTACAGAGGGCTACATGAATGTATGCGAGGATATGTTTCAAGATATGAAGGGCATTGAGTTATACGAGGAAGAAATAATTCTAGAAAGCAGCGACGAGGAGAATATACTTAATAATGCGAAGATCGACGAGGAAAGCGGGAGTCGTTCCATTATGCTGCAATGTCTGGGAGACAGGCAGAAGTACTTAAAATGCGGGGCGTGCATGAATCTCTATCACAACAAGGAGACTCTGGATAATCACAAGTGCAAACCTAGCGTGCAGGGCACGACAAAGCCGTACAAGTGTCTTCTGTGCGACACGACGTTCACCTTCGAGGAACGATTAAACTTCCACATGCAGTTTCACAAAGGCGCGAAGGCGTTGTATTGCGAAGTCTGCAACATCACGTTTGGCAAAGAGCTGAAATTATTCTATCATTACAAGAGATACCATTCTACAGATGTCAGCGTCTCGTGTCTGCAGTGCGGAAAGTTATTTGAGAGTCAGGAGGCGCTTCGGGTGCACGTTTGCGTCGACGGCAAGAATCGACCTCACATCTGCGAGGTGTGCAGCAAAGGCTTCTCCGACGGTTACACCCTGAAGCGTCACATTGTCACGCACCTGCCCGAGAAGCCCTACAAGTGCTCGCAGTGCTCGAAAAGCTTCACGCAGAAGTCAAGATTGAACAAGCACGTCGCGAGCCACTGCATCGTTATCGAGAGCAACCAGACGGTTTGGAAATGCATACAATGCGGAGAGGCGTTCATTTCTTGCGACGACGCCGATGTTCATTGTAAAGTCCACGACGAGAAGATAACGCTGATCGAGGAGCTGTCCACGTCAAAGCTGTATCATTGCGAATTCTGCAACAGTCACTTCACCGACGTGAATAATCTGAACGCTCACCAGGACCAGCATGTGATCGAGAGACCGTACACGTGTAACACATGCACGATCACCTACAAATCGTTCGCAGAAGCCGTTTTACATTGGAAGGAACACCCGCGGCTGTTCAAAGTTCTCGTCGTCTTCCTGTGCACCGTCTGCAATAAGGACATGAAGGAGTTATCCCTGCTGTACAAACACAAGCAGAAGAGACACGATCACGCACTCAGACCGTCCGAGTCGGGTGATGCGAAGTTCATCTGCGAGCTCTGCGGAAATATATTCGACACGAGTGAGGACATACAAAGCCACGGGCGAGATCAATGCTCCAAGTTCCCCTGCGACATTTGCGGCAATCTGTTGCCCACCGCGAACTCGCTCAACGCTCACAAGAGACGACACAACGGATTGAGGCCGTACGTTTGCAACATCTGCGGCAAGAGTTACACTCAGTCGAGTCACATGTGGACTCACAAGAGATTCCACATGGGCGTCAAGCCATATGCCTGCGAGTACTGCGATCAACGTTTCACGATAAAGCCGGATCTGGCGGATCACACTAGAAAGAAGCACACGAGGGAGAGACCGTTCAAGTGCGACGTGTGCAACAAGGCTTTCCTCACCGGCTCCGTGTTCTATCAGCACAGACTGATACACCGCGGCGATCGTAGGTATAAGTGCCACTACTGCGAGAAGGCCTTCACCAGAACGGAGGCTTTAAACAATCACATCAAAATACACACCGGGGAGAAGCCGCACGCCTGCGATGTCTGCGGCAGACGCTTCAGGCAGAAAGGCGACATGAGAAAACACAGACGCACTCAACATAGTTCCAAGCAAGAGACAACTTGAAAGCTATCACATTGGATGTAAATCAATCTTTCATCGTTACACATTTCTATTTTAATTATTCTATTTTAATTAAGTTATATTCTGTACAAAATATATTTGTGCAAAATCGCACTGCATTGTGCAATAATTATTAAATCTATCTCTTTTAACGAATAATAAAATGCTTTAAAATATATTAAATAAGACAACACAAAATAAGAAAATGTATACAAATAATTAAATAAATATAATATATTTCGATACTATTGCAAATTATTTCCTAATTATAACTTATTTTTACCGTATTATTGTTTTATCTTTTTGTTAACATTTTTTTATCACAGAAACAAGTGTGCGTAGCCGTAAGAGTTTTATGTAACTCCGCGCGCAATTTTAAAGAATCGTGAACGACAGGTGCGCGCTGTTGATCGCGCACGCGCCTACGTCGTAGAACAAGTGATGTTACGTACCTGATGTGATGTCTCATGACTGCCGTCATCGTGTGTTTGATCGTCACTGCTGGACGACCCGATATTCGGCTGTGACAATTACCGAGCCTCCGTCGCGTCCATGCACGCGAGATACACGCCGTGATGACGGATGCGAGATAGAAACGTGCCGACAGGCGCCACCGAGGAGGTCACGGAGTAGGTACGGATACGTGGTGGCCGAGAGCGAGAGTAAGAACGTCATTGTCGATTCTCCCGCGGACAGTCGATCGCGTATCACGAATCACGCACACGCAGCGAGATTCGCGATTTTTCTCGCGAATTTATCATATTCCGTCGCAAAAAACAACGCAAATCCGTGCTCGAGTACTACTTAACCTTAACGTGTTTGACATATGTAACGATGACACGCATGAAGAAGAGATAACGTAGTTATAAACAAAGCCTGTAGATATGCGACCGAAGATAACAAAACGATAATCGAGTAATTGTGGAAATTATTTTTATATATCGTTATTTTATGTGAAAGTGTGATGCGTTTTGAGATTTTTTTTTTTTATCGTGTTAGATTACAATTCTGTTGAGATTTGTAGAAAGTTATGTAAAATTGGTTTGTTGTGATGTTCCATAAAATAGAGGAGGATCATGGCTTTTCCGCCCTTAGTCAGCTCCACGCCTCCACCCTTAGACAACTTTGGAGAGTCTGATGAGGATGAATTCGGAGACTTCACAACTGGTGGAATAGATGGTACTTATATAACATTATGTCATTATATCTTATATCAACGTTTGTTATCTTTTACAATGCATGCAATTATCCTCTAATTTGTATAATTGTTGTAACAGGCTTATCTGTTTCGTCAGAATCCCCGCAGAAACTTGTCACTCCGATAGAAACACCAATAGCATCACATAACGTATCTCCTAGGATAAACGGTATTAACGAGTCACCAGTATTGGATGGTCGCCCTAAAATAAAAAGCGAAGCCTTGAAATGTAGAACTATTGACGGCCTCTTGATCGTTGAGAAGACAGGGGACAACGTGAGCCACATAGAACTGAAGGATAGAACAGATAACAGTAGCGTATTGGAAAACCATTTTGACAACGCTAGTATAACAGAACACAGTGTATTAGATTCACCTAGAAATGGCGAGTCGCATAACGTTGAGACTAGTAATAGCATTGACCACGTTTGTACTCAGAATGTTTTAGCTAAGGAAAATTTTGTTGATACGGATGTAATTAGTAGCAACAACAGTAGTTTAGCGGATAGTGTAAAAACAGCCAGCGAGCAGGAGGGATCGTCGTCGAACGGTTTGGAGGTGAACGATGACGTGGAACCCGCAAGCTTGGATTTGGAGGACCCTTCGAGCACACCGGACATTCTGCAGCAACTGGACGACGACTTTTACAACTACGAACAGTTCAAAGATGCGACTGAGTGGAACGATACTGACAACAAGACAGATGTAACTGTGACGGTTCTGCAGACGGATTACTTAAACGATGACAAGCCTAATTCCGATATAGAATATCACATAGCGAATGAAGTAGAAGAAACTTACACGTCATACAACACGAGTGACACTCGTGTCGATGGTACTAACGACAAAGCTGTCTTCATCCACGATGAAAGGACAATTTCCGATTTCGTTACCTCGCCGGAACTTAACGTAGACAGCGCCGATGTATTTGGTCAGCCAGATTGTGAATTCAGTATTCAATCGAAATACATAGAGATGTACAATGATGTAATATCTAACCATGAGACGAGTAGTGAGAAATCCAAGGCGCTGCACGATTCTTTCAATTTTGATTTCAATTTCGATGATTCCGGAAGAGAAGAATCAAATTTAGATTGCACATCTGTACATACCCAGGATGACGTCCGCTTTCAAGAGTTTAGCACGAAGGATGATGCGAGTACTTTTCCTAATAACTTCTACGATGTAAAAAATACCACACAATCAAAAGAAAGCGATTACGTAGCCGTAGAAATGCAAAATCAAATTGTTCAAAAAGCGAGTGTGAATGGGACAATCGAGGAAATTTCTGTTTATGTGAAAGACGAGCGGAACGATGAAGATGTGCGTGAGCAGCAGATTTTGGAAAATGGATTTGATACACACGATGTAGATAATTCTGATTTTACAGAATTCATAGAGCATAAAGATTTCGGCGACGTATCGGAGTTCACAAGCGACTTTAGTCCGGTATCCGCTAACAATAAATACGAAACAGTACAAATTCATGATTCACATACATCCTCATCCGATACGTCTTGTATACAAAAGCTTTCGTCGATCGAAGAAGCCTCACTGCCATCCGATACACCCCTCGACTGCTTACAAGATAATCCTACTGCGAGCGAAGAATGTGCCACATACAAAAGCGGAAATTCTGTAGTATACTTTAGCGATGGCGAATTTTATGATTTCCATTTGGATAAGATCGAGCCAGTAGCAACGGAAGTACAAGAGAACAGTTGTCTCGAATTCGAAAGTGCGGAGAACGAAGACGACGACGATGACGACGACGATTTTGGCGATTTCGCTAATTTTTCGAGCGCAGCGGTAGACGATGCTAAAGAACTGAAGGTACCTGAGGACGATGACGACGACGACGACGATTTCGGAGACTTCAGCAATTTCGAAACATCAATGGGTGTAGTAGAGACCCAACAGTTTAGTTTGAAAGAATCTATATGTCGGATAGAAAACAAGAACGTGAGTTTAGGAATGTTCGTTATACTAGATAGTTTTAGTAGTTTATTAGAAAAGAGTGAATTTTGTAGTTTAAAGCTTTGGCTTAGATTTAATCTAGCAATGCAGTGCAAATATAAATAATACTTTTCGATACGCTTGACATAATATTTAAAACAATTTCAGGCCTCGAATAAAATAGAAGATATAATAACAAACATGTTTCCCGTAATTTCTGAGCATCATGAAGTTGAGTTAAAGCCGTTAATAGACAAGGCGGATAAAGTTTGGCAGAATATGAAGAGTGTGGAAGAAACCAATGCTCTTACCTACCAATGGGCGAATAGTAGTAGTAACAATGTTCTTCTGAATGCTCTCGGCATCGATTCCAGAAATATTGTAAGTATGAATAGTTTGCATCGTGAAATTAGAGAATAATTTATGTAAATAATGAGGAAAAATAACGATATTGTGAAATTAAAGCTGTTCGGGCCGAGGTGGAATCCGAATGTACCAAGGTTTGCTGCAAATCTCGGCTTTACTCCGTTGGAACCGATTAAAGCTACTGCTGATCTTCAGCAGCCTTGTACATCCATCATCAACAAGACGCAAGGCGCAGCTTGTTCAGATGTAAGTTGAAGCTCTATCCATAGGATACGTGTGTGAGTATTAACTTGCATATTAATTGATAATTGTAATGTCATATTAGGAAGTACCTGCCGCCCAGTTTGATTGGAATAGTTCTGGCCTTGTAAATCCTCTAGATGCTAGTAAGTATTTATCGTTATTATACGTTTGGTAGTTAACACGTTGCATTTAATGAAATAAAAGTGTTGTATCTTCACGTTTTGCCGAATTGATATAGTTAAATATAACGAGAGAGAATAAAAATAATCTCTAAACAAGTATTCTATGTGTAAAAGCAATACGATTTTGTCACATAACATGTAGAACGTGTGTGGAACTTGGTCCTAAATGTTGCGAAAAATAACACTACAGGTGGTGGGTTGTCTGCTCTTCTGCCTCTGGATTTGTTGTGTCCGTTTGATCCTCTATTAACACCCCATTGCTCCACACATTCCGAATCCTATCATCAGTCAGCTTGTTCAACGAACTCCGTTTATTACTGTAAGTCAAGCTGTAATGCCGTTGTCCTTGCACATACATGCACATATTCATAATTCTCATTTCAAATAAAAGTTATGCTTGAATATGTATTAGAGATAAGTAGATTCTACTTATGTGCTTGCTTTTGAATTACTACGTCCACAATTCTACCAGTTTTATTAATCATTCATTTTTATTGCTACCAGATTCATCGGAAGAACCAAGTAGTCAATCTGTGAAATCACCAAACTTATCCGATCTTACTAGTGCTTCATTGAGACAGCAGAAACCATCTCAGTCTAAGATAATAGAACCATTACCAGGGCCGTGTACAATGGAATGGAAGAAGAAGGGCGAGCAAGATTTCGGAGTTAAGCAGAAAAGCAATCCGTCGCATAAACCACAGAGAAGTGTTCCGCCGATCAACAATAAGTCGTTCCCCGTAAGCAATAATACCTCCAAGGTACACGAGTGTCACAGGAAGACGTCGGTAGGTAGGAAAGAAAGCACGGCAGGCGCGGAACACGTGATCATGGACCGATACGGGCGACCGATGACCGTGCAAGCCGAGACTGTGAAAGTTTTGAACCAGTTGCCGGACCTGTCGTTCTTGAATGCGAGAACTCTGTTGTTCAGTCGCGAGCCGCGGCAGATTGTGCCGGATCTGGGGGCTATGATAAATCGGAAGATGCCCGGCTGAGTAACATCGGTCTGAATGCGAGTTTGAAAGGGCAAACGCGAGACGGGACCTCCTGAGAAAAGCTGTTGCGAGTCGGACGTTTCTACATGACCCGTACAATCAAAACGTACTTCTGCTACCTTTCAAACCTGTGTTCAGACCAACCTTTGATGATCCAACTTTGGCTCTTCCATGTCGGAAAAAAAAAAATGGTAAACAAAACACTGTACGTGAGACACCTGTCTACTAATCTTATACGCTTGTGGCACCGAGCAATGCACTTTGAAACATTCCGTACCATTATCGTTTTGTGATTCTGTAGATAATCGACATCGTTGTTGAATTCTTTCAAGATGCGTTTCATTTCGTCGCGGCAAATTAATACGGTTGCACCAATTCGGAATTTATGGCGTGTCGATTCGTTCTGTTGGCTTAACGAATGCGTAGTTTTTACCGGAAATAGTAGTCTTACGTCCTTAAATAGGTTTAAGAACTCACATTCGGCCATGTTCTAGTCTGCAGTTCTTAACGATAAGTTTACATGTATTATACGTTAGAAAAATTTGTTCAGGGTGTATAATTTCGATGATGATTGCGATTGAGCAGATTCCAAAGTATTATATCTCTCCGTTCGTATCATATTCCAAATCTATTAACGTTCTGGAAACTATCCTTAAACGAGCATACCCGAAAATTCACCATACATATTCGAGATATCGCGCGTACCACGTACGACGTTTCATCTATTACAATTTCAAGCAATCATAAATACTCCCAATTACATAGAAAAAAAACGCATTTTAAGTAACTGTTCGAAATAAAAAAAAAACTTATACTAATCGTAAGTCAATTATCGTAGATTGACGAAAGGAAAGATATCTGTAATGAAATCGTCGAGTGATAACAAGGATATCAAATTCGCTTGATGCTTTTATTGCACATTTTGAATTTCTACTGTGAAACAATGTACTTAATTATGTAAATCGCGAAATTTACATATTGATCATTAGAGCGAAATGATAAACCGAAATAATATTATCATTATCGAGTTCATTATTTATTAATGATAATATTGTAATATATATTTTATGTAAAATATTGTGGATAACATGAACACATAGGCAAATTTTTGATGATCGAATCGTTGTTACTTTTCTTAACTATTTTCACCAAATCGTTTCTCGCGATTTTAAGAGTCCTTGATCTCTTTCCTATTCCTTGAAATTTCCTCCAATTTTTTGAAGATGTCGAAAAACGATCAAATATTTCGTACGGTTGTTTTACTTGTACTAAATATTTTCAACAAGTAAAATAATGACCATTTAAATAAAAAAAAAATATAGCGCTATAATTCTCTTTCTATTAAAATATTTTTATTAAAATTCATCGCTAGTCATTTCACATTCGATTACATCTTTTTGTAAAATATATTCTCGTCATCAGTAGATAAATATACATATAATTCATCACATTAAATATATATATATATATATAGTAACAGTTGTAAAACATAAAATCACATATATACAAATTAAAATATATAATACTGCTAACTGCTATGCTCATAAAGTGCAATCAATTTTTATGTAATATATTATCAAATTATTGTTGTATGATACAATAAATTTTCTTTAAAATATTAAAAATTTTCTTGTAAAACATTAGACTAGATTTGATTTAAATATACAATTGATCTAATGTACATTTCAAATATGTGCATTTTCTAAAATAATTAGCTGTACTCTACGTATAAATTTTATGTAAATAATTCGTTTTTAAGAATTATATGAATATGGTCTAATTGCATTATCTTATCTTTTAGGTGTAAGAAACTGCAAATGTGATAAATAACTTTTGTCATTAAGAAAACATATCCTCTTCAGATTCTTCGTCTGAAATATCAAGTGTGTGTTTAGATTTCATTACATCATGCGTGTCTATATTTTCTGATTTAATCTTGCTAGTTGAAGGTTCAGGACTTGCACCTTCACTGGAATTTATACGTCTTTTAAAATTTCGTTCATCACTCTTTAGTATAGTTTTATGTTCATTCTCATAATCCGCCGTGCGTTTTCTCGTATTAAATGATTTAGCATTAGTGTTATATATTTTCTTGCTCTCTATATCTGATCCCTGGCTTTCATCATCAGTGGTTTCTTCGTATACTGATCTTGTTGTCTGTTCCTTACTATTTAAAACCTTTTGAAGTTCCCTAATTCTTTTCTTCTTTGTATTCAGAAGTAAAAGAAATTTTGTGTAAAGATCCTTTTCCATGATGTTTTTTATATCTATCATTTCTTCTATATCTGTGATTAACTTTGTGTTGGTTTTCTTCAAGCCATCATTTTCTTTTTCCAATGTTTGTATTTGTTCTTGACATTTTTCATAAAGCTCTGACAATTGCATCAAAGTATCGGAAATAACTAATAAATTTGAAAGAGGTTGCACTGCAATTTCTCCACGAATGAGAATATTTTGCTGCTTCCATGTAAACGTATAATCTTCAAGAAAGAAATATATGTCCGCATTTGCTCCAGAAAATGCATGTCGAGTTTTCTCCAAATATGTCTCAAAGGACTCGTCCAGATGTTTTAGAAAGTAATTGGCATTCTCTGTGTGCATCTAAAAGATGAAAATAATTGTCAATAGGAGTATATACAGTAGATACACAATATTGTAATTGTCAAGTAATATTTTGCAAATAGTAACATTTACTTGTGATAAGTTACAAATATATTTGTCTATATTTTTCTCAATTTTATGACATGCCAGAAATATACATATAAAATGAATAAATGTTAGATTATATACCTCGCCTCTCAATGGAACTGTGGACGACCTTAATAATATGATTTTAAAATGCGTATCCTCCCATTCTGTGTACAATGTAAAATGACTTTTGTCTACTTGATTCACAAGCTGACTTACGCTCACATTAATCATGATATTTCGTTTCAATAATTCGGAGAAGTTTCACAATAACGGAGAAATCATGACAAACATTCGACAATCATATAACCAATTAATAAATCTTTCTTAGCCAGAAATGTAAAAATAATTTATAAAAGTATATATTTCGATAAAAACAGATTCTGTTGATTAATACTGATACACTTAAGTCTGAAAAAAAATATAATGTGCATAAGCACATAAGTGAACATCAGTGAACATGTCATCACATGTTATCCATGTTATCAGATAAAAATAATAATGTGCGCATGCGTCATAGAATGGCGTCTAAGGATATATCCACACTAACTTAAATAGGTGCATAAATATAAGTAAATGGATTGGTTTATAAGAAATGAACCGATTCAATTCTTAATAATGTAGTGCATATGCTTATGCACTACATAAGTTGTCTCGATACACCCTAATATTATATCCAACGTACGCCAATCAGCAACCAATCAACAACGTACGCTTTTTCAAACTTCGTAACTAATTTCAAGCAAAAAAACTTTTCCGTTGTATCATTTCTTTTTTGTAAAGTGTTTTAAGATAACAAATTATTTGGTAAAAAGCGAGAAAATTGTATTGTAAGAAATTATTTGAAACTGTTCGTTTATTCTGTTAAGTTGACGTAAAGAGTAAAGGTTAAGAAAATGAAGGTAAAGCTAAATACATGTAGTACCTGCTCAGGAACAAGCACGCAAAATATCGTAAGTTATTTCTAATTTTACTAATATATGCTAGCTATTATAATTTCATCGCAAACCAAACACCGGATATATATTTTTGCAATGTATGAATTTATATGTCAATATTAATAGAGAGGAACTCTACTTGAAACATTATTTTTATTCAATGGTAATTAGTATATAGAATTGGGACATTTGTTTGCCACGATAAAAGTCATAGCTTATTAACTATATCAAGAATTTAATTGTATGTGTATTTGATTTTATTAATTGTAGTTTATATGTTTGCAGGTTATATTTTGCTGAAACTCTCATCTAAAACTGAAAGATAAGTTTAGATATAATTCTAACTTGTCACTTGCTTACTATTATTGCTAATATAAAAAAAATTTTATAAAGCAAGTTGGAAACATGAAGCGTTTATCACGACATGCAGCATTAGAATCGCTAAGTTGGTTAGAAGGAACATGGAGAACAGAGAAGCAAGGTAGCGGCAAATATCCAACTATTAAAGATTTTAACTACTGCGAGGAGATAAGTTTCATATCCATAGGCCAACCTATGTTCAATTATACTGCGCAAAGTTGGCACCCAGAATTAAAGAAGCCTATGCATCGGGAAACAGGGTTCTTAAGAGTGAATCCAGAAGAGAACAAAGTATCTCTTCTTTTGGCACACAATTTTGGTTTAACGACCATTGAACATGGTGAGGTAATTGATAAAACTATTGTTTTACATAATACTGATATATCAAGAATGAAAGGAGCAAAACCACCTGAGGTCACACAGGTACATTTAAATTCTATTAACTTGATAATCAATGTTTATATAAGTGTCTTAATTACACAAATTGTTTCTTAAACTTTACATTTTTATGACAGATACGCAGAGAATTCAAACTCGATGGTGACTGTTTGGAGCAAGTGTTTTATATGGCAACATCAACTAATCCAGAGCTGACTGAACATTTGCGAGCAAAGTATGTTAAAGTGAGCGAAGAAGCATAAAAGTAAAGAAAGTTTTAATATATATTTTAATATATTAATAATTAATTATTTCAATAATTAATATATAAAATATATATTTTTCGCCATTTATTATTATCATTTATAAGCGTTGTTTGCGAATAAAATTTGAGAGCAGCAGAAATGCGTGCCGAATTGATTATTTATTATTTTTTAACTCTATAATAACGCTATTATCTGTACACACGTTGCATGACAAATCTGTTATTTGCAAATCTACAATATCGTCCATTTTGTATTCTACAGAATTACTATTGAAAGTATAGTTTACTTGTTATGTAATTACTTAATACGTGGTTTTTTTCCGATTATCAGTCAGAACATCCGTTGTAAGATAAAACATCTAGTAATTTATGACGTTACAGAGTATTGCGTGGTGGCGTATAGCGAATGAGATTCCAGGTTTCATATAATGAATGAGATTTCAGGAAGGTATAAATACCAGAAATCTCGTGTAGCAATCTCAGTGTAGCCTGCGACTAAGTTTTTTCACTTGATGCTCTGTGAAGAATACAAATATTGAGAATCTACAATATAGGATTTTATCGTCTGTGTATTAAAAACTACGAAGATGCAGATGAAAGTCTTACCATTGCACGAGGTGCTTAGTGTGCTAGCCTGGTTGGAAGGCATATGGGTGACAGACGAGCCCGCGGTGGGCATGTTTCCGACCATCAAATCTTTCAACTACTACGATGAAATAAATATCACATCTATAGGCCAACCGTTGTTCAATTACATCGCGCAGAGCTGGCATCCGGAAACGGGGACGCCAATGCATCGAGAGACCGGCTTTCTACAGGTCATACCGGGCACCAACAAGGTCATGCTCAGTCTGATTGATAATATAGGCATATTCACGGTCGAGCAAGGTGAAGTGGGCGGCGATAGTAAAATGATTGATTTGAAGAGTACAAATATAACAATAACGGATGCGTCGCCACCGCCTCTTGCGACTTTAACGGGGGTATGATTACGTTTCTTCTATAAATATAGCTTTCATAATTTAGTAAGCACAATCGTTTAGTGATTTGTTTTCTCCACAGACTCGTCGGGTCTACCAACTCGATGGTGATCGTTTGGAACTGGTCTTTTACATGGCGACGTCAAAAACGCCCGAATTATCGGAACATTTGCGTGCAAAGTATAAAAAGGTGGCATAGAGAAGATTCCACGCGTGTGGAAGACGCAGCAGTATGATAAAATTTCGTACAAGTTAACATTTTTCATCTTGTGTTGTAATTATTTAAACAGGATATGAATAAAGTTTTTAAGAACCGTGTGATTAATAAGCATCGCACAACAAGGTAGATTTAATTTATTAATATTATATTAAGGAAACGTAATGTATCGGTTCCGACACAATTATACGCCGCCTTTTCGCTACTAAGGTAAATCGAATAGATGGAAGGTCGGAGGTCGACACACAATATCCAAAAAGAAATTCGCGACTGGCACGCGACGTGACCGCACAAAGAACTGCGCCGCAAACGCGTATCCTTAAGCGTATCCTTTACCACTCGATCGATGGAATTTAGTTATATTTTATTATTAATGAATGCGCCGTAATGTGATTGTTATTGATTGCGATACTTCCGCATTGCGATTTACACGAAACCACCAACAATTTCGATTTAGTTTTTCCTACTTCATTTGCGTGACTGTAGCTTTGTAAGTTTTCGAAATCAAATTCGGTGTAAAAAATTTAAATAGGACTTTTTAAATAACATTCTATGTTTAATGATGCAATGATGATTATTAATAGCTATAGTTGAAGGCCATGACGCACTAAGGACGATGGAGGAATTGAATGGACTCGAAGAATTCTGGTTTGCCTAAGTCTTGTATTAAAAATCGATGAATTAAAACGAACTGAAAAGTAAAGAAAGAAAATGCTGCGAAATTGGACACTTAAATGGAAATTTTTTCTCTTTTTTGAAGAAAGTATTTTGAAAAAAATATTAACAATTTTTATTTTTCTTTATGTATACTGATTTGATATTTCGTGAAATTATGTTAATGTCAAAGTGATGATCAATGATAAACATTGATAAATGACAATTCTATATTCAGGTCAATCGCACAGCGATAATATGCTTGCATTTCGTAATATCGCGAAACTTGAATAAATGATCGCTGTTTAGTTGCACGAATTCACCCGGCATAAGGGGGTAAAGGGAACGTAACACCTGCGTGTTTACCCGCTGAAACAGCCCCGACCTGCTCGCGGCGGAACCGACCGCGACAGTTGCTCGCTGCGTCGGCATGACGAAGGATCGTTCCCTCGCACAGGGGCCCAGAATTGATCCAAATGTCCTCGCGCACACCGAGTGTTCGTTCTATCGTCGTCGTACTCAGTGTCGCCATCGTGCGCAGCTAATTCCGAGTGATTCGAGTGTCCTCGTGATGCGGTACGTGCGTTCTTGTTCGAGTTTATTTCACATTCCCTTTTCAGGTTGTTTTAAAATTCATTAAAATTCATAAGCATGCATCGCGCTTAACTCTTAAATTATGTATCTCATTCCTGTTTGTTCTTTGCGTTCCAGCAATTTCCTTTCATTTACAAAACTGTTTGAAGTATATCTTTTTCAATTTTTTTTTTATTTCAGAGACTTCTATCTTAAATATCTTTTAGCTTTAATATTTCTTCCAAGTTACTTTTATTTTAATACAACTTCTTTCAATTTTATTAAAAATTGTATTTCTTCAATTTCTTTTTAAGTCTTTTATTTTAAGAAATTTGTCTATTTTTTTCTAGAGTTTATATTTTTCCTAATTTGCATTCATTCTTGACATAATTTTCTGATTTAAATCGTATCATTTTCAGGGTGTTGCTCAAAAACTATGAGAAGCCAAAAAGAATGGGAATACGTTCGTCTCCTGAGCGCAGATTGCATTATTCGGATTTATCCATTTTTTCTAACAAATGTTTAAAATTGTTCGAGTCGCTATTATCAAATTAGAACTGTTACGATTTTATTTTACGAACCGAGCGCAGCTTGAACATTCATCTCGCCGTAAATTTGAATCGATTGTGTATCGACTATCTCTCGGTATGCTCGATCGCCTCTGAGCTCTTTGACTTTTGAATGACGCGCAGTATGGCACCGCTTTACGACAATCACGATTATTATAAGAGGATGTTTGAGCTTCAGGAAAAACTGCGAAAGAGGCAAGTGCATCCCTTCTCGCGAGATAATCACATACGTGCGTGGAAAAGTAATTGTGATAATGTTGACAAATTTTTCAGTGAGGAGGACAGAATACGATTGGAAGAGCGATTCAATGTGCTCGTGCGAGAGTCTCGTAATAGGTGAGTAAATCCCTCATTTAATTTTAAGAATTTGAATTCCAGATTCTGTTGAGAGATTCGAATGTGAAGTAGAGATTCCGAAATCAAAGCCTGATTATTGTGACATGTTATCAGATGATAATCGATTTTACTCATTGTTGATGAAAAATTGCAATCTAATTATCTTACTTTTCTTTATGTTCAGAGAACATATGGTAATTACTTTTAAATTTAATTTTAGATTTTATTAATAAATCTACTTTAAAATTGACATGCTCTTTTAATAATTTTTTTATTTATAATTTGTTTTGCTATTCATCTCGCTTACAAAATCACAAGTCAGAATGACTGGTTTTACGCGTCATTTAGCACCGCAGTAAAGGAGAGAAACTACCGAAATACTCGATATCGATCCAATGGCAACTCGTTTCTACGAGATGTCACGATCAATAACGCCGCCGAGCATAATCCCATGCTCGTCTTCATTGCCGTCGTCTGGCGTATCTCGGTTATCAGAAGAACGAAAATTCCGCTTTTTCATTGTTTACATGTCCCGATTCGTGTCTGGCCGAGACATCCGAGCACTTCATCGATCGCGGTGAACAAGATAAAAGCGCGCACGTATTCCAGGTCGCACGATTGCGGAGGTGCGCGCCTTCCGCTTTAAAGCAATGCGATAACTATATCCTGCGCGACCTTCCGCCGTCAAGGTGTCACGAAACGCTCTTCGATCATGCGGAAATCGTATTAACTATTGAATCGATCGATTGTGCCCTAAATTTTGTCATATACCAACGTTTGCGGGCCAAACGTAAACGTACATAAAGTACCCAGATAATATATAATCTTTCTTAGTTGTTTATTCTTAATTGTAATTTGCAGCACTGTAAAATTGCCATAGGCTGTATGATAAGGATAAATCAGGGGAACAAGAAAGAGACAGATTCCTCAGTTAGAATATTTCTAGAAACAAAATTTACTACTCGGCAATTTTCTTGCAGACACGACACTTGTATAAATCGAATGCGCACGAGGTACATACAATATTTGGAAGAGCAACGCACAAGGGATGAGAGGAATCATAAGCTCCTTGCAGCGTTGGACAAGGTCATGAACAAACTCGCACTGATAAGTGCAAAAAAAGACAGACTCAATGTTCTCAGAGTAAGTTTTACTTTAACCAGCAATCTCTAACTACATTTTAAAGAACTCACTTTAT